CCCCCCCCCCCGCCCCAACTTTACATGCTAGCTACGGCCCTGTTACGCCGTACAATTTACTATGTGCACAAAATTGCTGGTTGTATTTGTGTTTAGCACTACTTTCTGCGCTTTCAGACAACCAGTTCTTGAAATTTCGGAGTAAAATACTATTGTGATCACCAAACTTATTCAAAGATTTCAGAAAATCCTCGCTATTAGGAAAGTCCACCGATTTATGAAATTTTGCAACTGCAGCCATTCCATATGCTCTGCTTCCATCACGAACACTTTCCTTGATTCTGTTAAGATTTTGTTCTCCTTCGTTTATTGATTGATTGATTATTGATTGGTTATTGATTGATTATTGACATTATTGACACTCCCCTGAAGGGGCTTTTCAGTGACAAAAATTAAAAACATATAAACTTACTGTATTATTACTACATTTAGTCCTAATTAATTTTATTGAATTATTTATTGGTTACTGTTGGACGTGTTTGACCAAATTCAATTCAATTTTATTTCACACGTTTACAAAAGATATAGTTAGACATTAATTACATCACAAAAAAATCATAATGGAAGGGAAAAAAAGGGAGTTAATTATGGTATTATATCGTGTACAGTGGCCAAAGTAGCTGAGAAGCTTTCGAGTTGGCCACCGTTCGTGGGCCCAAGCTTCCCAAGCTTTCGAGTTGGCCACCGAAACTGAAGAACAATAGTAGAGCTTGCTGAAAACCAAAGCACTTATTACAGTTACTGACAGATTTTTATTGAAGGCGTGTTTAGCTCGATTTATCTGACAGAGACTTGACTTGCAGGACGAGACGGTGGAAAGGATATGATTGTCGAAGGAGAGGATCGGGTCAAACGTAACTCCCAGATATTTGACTGTTGCAGCAGGTATTAGTTCTTTACCGAGTAGTGAGGGTCTAAATTCAGGTAGCCTTGCAAGCATTTGACGACTTCCGTAGACCATCAATTTGGTCTTGCCTGGGTTGAGCAAGAGCAGGTTGTCGAAACACCAAATTCTAATTCTGATTAAGTCTTCATTCAGATCAACCAGAGCAGCATTAGAGTCATTGATATGGAAGGACGGAAGGAGTTTAGTATCGTCAACTTACGATTCAGAGGAACACGTTTTAGTGGCAGACGGTAGATCATCAGTTGAGATAAACACTAAACAGCAACGGACCGAGAATACTTCCTTGTGGGACACCACTAACCACTGGCAATTTCTCAGATAGAGTAGAATTTATGCGTACTGCTTGATATCTTTCGCTCAGATAACTTCTAAACCAAGTCAGGCATGAAGATGAAACGCCAACATCCTCCAATTTAGCAAGAAGTATATTGTGATTAATGCTGTCAAAAGCTTTACTCATGTCCAAAAGAATAACTGCCGTGACTTTCTTCTGGACGATTGCTTTGAGAATGGAGTCGATGGAATGGATGAGGGAGGTTTCCGTTGAGTGCCAGGTTTTGTTGCCACTCTTATGCACAGAGAGGCGACAATTGATGGTTAGGTAGGAGGTTAGTTGATTGAGTGCTACTCTCTCGCATACCTTAGAAACAACGAGTAGGAGGGAAATTGGTCTCTTGTTATTGGCTTGCTCATGATCACCTTGTTATTGGCTTGCTCATGATCACCACAGCAATTTTCCAAGCACTTGGAAAAATGTTGTTGACTAACGAGTTGTTTATGATGGAGGTAAACCTTGGTGCAATAACGGGAAGACAGTCCTTGATAACGTGAATAGGTACTTTATCTATTCCTGGTGCCTTGTTATCAGGCATTGACTTCACAATATATTCTACTAAGGAACATTACACAGGTTCAAAGGTAAACTGATCCGACTCGGTGTAGCTGGTTGGGACAAATGGTAATTGGGAGGGAGTGTAATTATTTTCTTTAGCAAGTGATTTAATTTTCATGACAGTGTTTGAACCGACAGATTTGCCACAGATTTATCATCATTACTGAAGGACTTCTTTCCAGTAGTTTTCTTGGGAATACATGTTCGAATTACTTTCCACATATTACCTGTCTCCTTTGGGTTCTTCTTTATTTCCTGCTCTACATACGATCTTTGTGCCTGACGTAATTTCCGTTTAACATCCCGTTTGTAGTCTCTGTAAGTAGACCATGCAGCAGGATCACCAGTTTTCCGAGCTATTTTTCTCCAACGATCTCTTGTTCTCATCAGCTTTCGAATCTCTTCTGTAACGAAGGGATTTGGACGAACTCTCACTTAAACTTTTCTGACTGGTTCATGTTGATCAAGAATCCCATTAAATAACACATCAAAAGCATTCAAACTGTCATTCACATCGTCAAAGTTGTTAATGACTGACCATGGAGCATTAGATATGTCCTCACAAAAGGCCTCTGGGTTGTAATTCTTGAAACTTCGGACAGAGACATAGACGGGCTTTAGGCGACATTTCTTCAGGGTCAGAGGTGACATAACCACATCGTGATCGCTTATTGATTTCGGGATGACTTTCGCTTGCTTGATGTTATTCTTTGAATAGGTAAGGATTACTTCAATCAAAGTACGAGAATGTTCAGTAATTCTGGTGGGTTTATCGACCAACTGTGTCAGGTTGAAACAAGTGCAGAATTTAAAAGAGAGCGGTGTCCCGGGTCATTCGTATCTAGGACATTACAGTTGAGATCTCCCAGGATGATGTCCTTCGTTAGCTTTGGTCTTTTCATTACATCATTCACAACTTTATGGCTACAACACCCATAGCTTTAAAAGCAGCTTCGCAAAGATAACCTTTGGCGTGCATGTCACCGGGTACTTCCGTTGACCAGCCATGCGTTGAAGAATCTCTGTTTTTGACAATCCGATTGTTTTTAGTGCAGAGTTTCTTTGAAACTGTGCACTATTGTGATGAGTGGCGAAAATTCACATCTGTCATACATAAGATATCATAGAGTAAACTTTCGGGGGGTATACGATTTATCTTCGTGCTGATGAATTGTACTTAGTGCTTTGAAAGTTATTTAGGCAATTTCAGTTGTCTTATTTAAATACTTATTTTGTCCTTTTGCCAAGTTCACAAAAATTTCCAGGAATCGTCGTTGTTATTGTAATTTTTTGTCAATTTTATAACATTCGCTTCTCCGTGTTGTGTGAAGGATCTTTCCCCCGGAACACCCATTTTTTTCTTTAGCAGCGCAAATGCGCATGCGCTATCAAGCTGTAGATCACGATGGCGTGACGATGCTAGGAAGAAGCGACACTGCCGACAGTGTTGTTTTCAAGTTATAAACATTTTTATAGACGTGAATATCGAGTCAATCTTTGAGAATCTACGCAATATATAAATTGATGTTATCACTTATGCATTACGGGCATTCAATTAAGTACCGATATTATTTTGACGGCATATGCAATTTCAATATATATACAAAGCTAGGAAGCAGCGAGACAGTGTTGTTTTGTCTTTTGAAATGTATGAACATTTCAGGCATGAATATTGAGAAAATCTTTGAGATTCTACGCAATATATAAATTCATGTTTCGCATTACGGGCATTCAATTAAGTGCCGACGGTATATTCATTATACAGAGCTATGAAGCAACGAGACAGTGTTGTTTTCAAATGTATAAACATTTCAAACTCGTGTTCAGTGCAACGAAAACCCTACCAGATCTTACGAGAATCTATCAGTATCAAAGCTTGTCAAAACTGCTATATAAACACTGCTATAACTGTGAAACTATTGAAATCTAAAGTGACATTATTGAATACATGCGAAAAGCTGAAAATGACTCATGAAACAACAACGTGACCTTTGAAATATGTCAATGGTCAATGAGACTTGTTATTGTGATCACGTCATAATTTTATATAATTAGATTAAAATGCGGATGCGGATCCACGGAACGGATATGGGGATAAAATGCGGAACGGTTGTGGATAAAATGCGTCATTTTAATGAGTTTTTCGCCTCTTATTTGTGTTTCTGTGTTTTAGATTTATGTTTTTTTTGTAATGGAATACAACGCCGTAGTGCTTATTATTCATAACATATCTTATACAGCTATTTCAATTAAAGTTATCACTGAGACAATAGTCAAAGTGTACAATATGGGCGCTAAAAGGATGGTGGGAATAATCACAGATTTAAACTAGAAATACATGCATGCAACAACCCCTCGCCTAAATTTTCCAAAAATTATTTCAACATGAAGCATTCGCAATTATGCCAGCACTGAACGCAGGCTCCTGTTGCCACATCATGTTAACAACGATGTTAACATGGCGACACGATAATTGTTTCATAGATGAAATTTGAACACTTTTAAATACAGGAGTCGGAAATCATATTATAAAAAAGTGATTAAAGTTAACTATGATTAAGTGCATACGTCATCCAATAAGAAGCGCCTATTTGAGAGTTAATCACTATTTCACAACGAACTAGTGATTAAAAAAGTGATTAAGAGTTTTATACAACTAGCCCCAGAACTATCAATTTCTAAAGTATATAAAGTAGGTATATTATTTCGGTTTCTATGGAATCTATTTTAATGTAAAATTCAAAACGAAACTCTACGTAAAACGTTTTTAAATGTGAATTGAAATCAACTGCTTTTTGCCGATATTTATAAACTCCTCAACTCGAGCTTCAACTTATTACTCGCACTTTGAAATGAAATAAATTTAATTCGTACAGGACGCTAAGGGAAAGTACATTTATTATGCCGAGGGGGGGGGGGATGAAGATGTTAAGGGGCGCACCAAAATATTTTCTGGCATTAAAGGGGGGACTCTGAAAGTTCTCGATATACCGAAGGGGGAGCTCTACACTTTTCAAAGTTTTGGTCCAGCAGGGGCCTGGAGTGTTCACTCCCACCATAGTTAATAGAATAGATTGTTTGGAAACTCCGCCCTACTATGAAATTCAGGCAAAAATCTGTAAAATTCAAGTTAAAATTTTGACATTTTTGTGAAATGATAACCATTTTTGTAAAATACAGTCAATTTACATGAAATTTGTTTGCGAAGTTGCTTTAGAAAACACCAGAAATTCAGTCCTAGAGCTTCAAAAATGTAAAAAGTTTCTAGGGGACGACCCCTAGACCCCCCTTTTCTCCCAAAACTTAGTATGAGAGTGCCAATCAATCACAAAAAGTTTTATTATAATTACTACACGTATAATCCTCCGACATCCCCCCCCCCCCAAACGTCAGATGCTTTGCTACGTCCCTGATGGTTGTATTCGAAACCAATTTCAGTTTTAAGATATCCTTAAGTCCCGGTCACACTACACAACGATAACGATACGATAAATTGTAAACACGCGATAATTGTCAAAAAAATTGTGTTCGTGTCCACACAACAACGAAAATGATAAAATTATCGTTAGACGATAACGATAACGATTTTAAAATCGCTCACCTGAGCGATTTTTTTTTCAGTCGGACGATAACGATAAATTTTTGACCAATCAACGCGCGTATACAAGTTATCGTATCGTTATCGTTGTGTAGTGTGACCTGGGCTTTAGTCTGCTCTTCTAAATGGATACATGAAATCACCTATAGCTTATTTTAAATTTTTTGGCGCCAGGTTTGTGAAGTAATTTACCCGCCAAAAAGAAGCAGTTCCAAAAACAAAAAAAGCATACGATTTGTAAGAATGATATGTTCTATCTTTATGGGTCATTGTAATTAATGAAAAGCATAGCCGTTGATAACCTCCTGATAACCAAACTAATGAGCAAAATTTCACAGATGACATAGAGAATAATAGAATATGTTGTGCAGGTCCTACATTACCGAATCATCAACAGCGCTCATGTATAAATAAGGGGCCACGTCCTTATTCATGTTGCCACAAATAACATCGTAACGACATTATTTCACCCACCCACCCCAGATAATGTCGATCGATATTCAGTCGTATTTTGACCGACACTGCTAATTTAGATGGGTCAAATTGACTCCAAAAGTAGAGTAAATAAAAAAGGTACAGAACAACTCCTTTTTTGGAGTAAATTTTACTCCTTTTTTACTCCATTACTCCTGGAGTAATTTTGGTATCTGCGAAGCAGATGTATTGCTATCGCAAACGTGACCGTCAGTGTTACCGTATGTTAACACATAGCCATTCAGCGACGAGCTTATATAATTTAAGCAAATTTAAGCCAATCAGCGATTCGTTTACATCAATTGTTTACATCGTGCCCGCATCTAACCTGCGAACGGGCATACTTTAGCCTCGTCAGGCCTCTCACTCTGTATAAATCGTGTTTATATTCTTTCAAAAATATATTGATATTTTTATCAATTTATCTTGAATTGGCTGTCTTGTTTTCTCGCCATTCTACTTGCGATATTATTCCGAAGTTATTTATCATCTGGTAAGTAGTCAAATACCACATATATATTTAAATACCAAATTTGTGCAAATATATGTCCCACATATTTTATAATACATGAGTTCGCCAGTTCGGCAAATATTTACTATACTATCTATAGTTTAGTAAATATTGCCGTATAATATTGCCGTATCTTCGGCGTAGAGTTTACATGGAATGCACTCTGGAATTTTTTTATTAATATATTACACTGTGTAAAATATTGGATATTTTCGAGGATATTTTAAGCCATTTGTCAACATAGTTCACAAAAAGGTTTTAAACAGTGAAAAAATTCTCAGGAGATATTGAATTAAATCCTGGTCCTGTATTTCTGTATATTGACTCTGAAACTCCATTCAAAACAACAGTCTAACTATAAAGCTGTCATCAAATGTAGTGTTAGAGCAAAGGTTGAAGATGTTATCAGTTAAAATACTTATACATTTTGGTTTTACACATTAGAGTTAATTAAACAAAATTTTTACAAACATTTTCAAATAAAAGAATCCTCACCCTCCCGAGCCTCATTACATTGTCATTTTGCTTTCTAACATAAATATTTTTCTTTAGAGATTAATACAAGAATGAAGAATAAATGTACTGGATATTGGCTGGATAATTTTGTCAGAACAACCAACTTGCAAGACAATCTTACCTAAATTCATTAGTATGGAAAATAACTTAACAGCTACAATGAATAATCATATATTATATGGTGAATTTGATCAATGGCACACAATGTACAAAACTAAACTTGTGAAACCTTCTACTCAAACCGATAATCTCCGACAACACAATTGTTTTTGTGTGAATGTGCTATACGTGTTAAACCGAACAGTGTGGTATATCATTAACTGTGCACAGAACTGGAATTTAATTATATACTTTACTCATGACCTTCAAAACATTCTCAATTATTCAGTGGTCTTCGACATGTTCACCAAATATTTTGTGTATGTTACTCAACAGTTAACATTGGCAAGTGTAAACAACAAGTGACATAATTTTTGCTTCATATGATTACAATAAAGTTTTGAAAATTTGATGAGTATGGATTGAATTGCAGGTGACAGTTTACTAAATAGCCGGCTGTATAGACACTTTGAATATTGTTTGCATGAAATTTTTATTTCCTAACTGCATAGTTATCTGTTACAATCATAATCACATTATAAAGTTAGTTAAATTTTCTCGGTGCGGGGGTGGGGGTGGGGTAGCACTTGCCCTGCTGCACTCCCCACTGTGTACAGCCCATGTCATCTTCATTATTCAGTTTCTTTCAAGAAAATACAAAATGTGAATCAACTTTTTTCGCAGATACATGTACGCGTCGCGTATCTATTTTTACTCATTAAGTAGAGTTGTTTTTACTTTTCAAAAGGAGTAAAAACAACTCCACTTAAGGAGTTAAAATTACTACAAATATGGACTAAAAAAAGTAGTGAAATTTACTCCAAAAAGGAATCGTTCTGTACCTTTTTTATTTACTCCACTTTTGGAGTCAATTCGACTCTTTTGGAGACAAAATGACTCCTATATATTGGAGTAAAGAAAAGTCCTTAACTAACCTTAGAAATCAATAAAGACATTTTTCAAGTCAAAATAATTTATTATTCCTACAAGTAAGGTATACTTGTTTTCTTATCAGTAGTATAAATGCTGACTTGCCCCTTAATTTAACGATATATAAAAAACGGCCTCATCTTTCCAAATTAACAACGCACCCCAGTTTAAATACAATCTCGTGAGCTCCTAACCCATCGTAACTGACAGTAAGCTCAACACTAACTCAATCGTTGTGACGTCATTATTGTAAATATGAATAAATCCTTGTTTCGCTCACAAATATTATATATCTTTGATCTTGACCGTAATCACAACCCATCCCTAACCCTAGCTTTATTGTGCGCGAAACATGAGAATCTAACCATAAACTTTTTTTAATCTTTCTATCCTACGGTTACTCTAATATCTGTGACATCAGAACGACAATAGCATGGAAACTTGCACCCATTTTTGGACCCTTTTCACTATTGACCACAATATCAGCCAATAATTATTTTAAGAGCACACAGATTATTCAATGCTTTTAATTACACAACAACGATACACTGTATCACTATTAAAGACTGCACATATATACTTCAAACTATCACAAGACCACAACTGTACAGTAAGTGCGGACTGTCCGGTATGTACTATTTAAAACGCGAGCAGGAGAGTTTGTGTAATACCATTACATTTGAATCATCGTATTTTAACCGTATAGTTAAACCATGGAATATTGTATGTAAAGAAGTTAATCCTCAAACTTTCCCCAGCCCCTTCTCTTTTAGAAACTTTCTCAAACTGAAATACTCTCACCTTGTTCACACAGTCTACGATGTTGAATTACCCTGTACCTGGTCCTTGGTTCGGGACTGTCCCTGCCATAGGACTTAAGTTTGTGCAGTTTGTGTGCGTGTGTTGTGTGTGTGTGTGTATGTGTGTGTGTATTTGTATGCTGTGTGTATGTGTAGTTGTGTGTGTGTGTGTGTGTGTGTGTGTGTGTGTGTGTTTATCTCTCCGTGTGTGTGTGTGTTTGTCGACACGTCTCTCATTCTTTCTCTGTTTATACACCTCTTTCATTTCTTTCTTCTCTCTCGTACACTCCTTCATAGTAATTTTGGTAACATATATATTGGGGTTTTTTTATAATTTGTGACTTCGCTGGCAGGTGCCTTGCATGGATCCAATTTCTAGAGTCCCGTTCGTACCTTGCCATTTTGGATCACTCGCTAACATATAGTATAGCTATCCAATTATTTGTATATATTCTGGGGGTTTTTTTTCTAGTTAGTGAACTTATATTGTAATAATTTGATCCAAATAAATTTGTTAAAATAAAATAAAAAAATAAAAATAAAAACTATTCTCACTGGCAGTTTTCTCTCACAATACCATATAATTTGAATCTTTATGCATGAGATGATTAGTTATATAGGACGCTAGCTTCGCTGCACTGTACATTTGACAAAATTATGTATGCCCAATCTTAATATTCCTTCAGTTAAAGGTATTGTTCGGGGGAAGCGAGCAGTGAGAATAAATAACTATAGAAAAGCCGGCCAGGCTGGCCATATAGTATCTAGCTAGAACTACATGCAGACACAAAAATCATTCTTAAATCTATTTGTCTTAAAATTAGAAAGTTTTAAGGTATATGTATTATTTTGATTTAGGAACATTTAAAAGAAATCCTGAAGAGTATTTGTGTATACAATACGAAGAATCCACACAAGAACATGTGGGAACTGAAACCAGAATACAGACATTATGACAAGGAAGACACTTCAATGGAATGATTCTTCCTTTTGGCTGAGGTTGTTTGTAATAAAGTCATACCCAAATCACATTCTGTACGAACAACAAACCTGTCTGATAATTGATGTAACGTGACTTCCCAGACTTTGGCTATACGATAATATAAATTGGTTTATGTGTGAGAGAGGTGCGATGGGCACATGTACATTCAAAATGCTTTCTATCTTTCTTCTTGGGAAGTGCCGACATATGGTATTTTCACCCATGTTGAATTGCTTGCACAAAGTGAATGAGCGAATGTAATAACATAGACAATCCAGAAGACAGGGACTGGAAACGCCTAATGTTTTACGCGCGCCATCCGTGATGCGGCCAGCTGCAGATCTTGCGGGCTCATTTATTAAAACAAAAATTCAACATTTTTCGAAACATTTCAGTGATTTCACAAAAGAATAAAACATTTCAAGAGTTGTTTATAGCTGTTCGATTATGAATAGATATATCTATGATTGGAAAGCATTTTACTCGAGAGATGGAACTCATGGAAGCAATTGATGTGGGATTATATACAGAAGGTAGTTTACAGTCCATTGTTTGGTCAAAATTTAAAGACAGACTATTTATTTTAGGTATGATTTAATATAGTATTTTATACCTTTCTGGCCTTTTCTAGATTGTTGCTTAGTTTTCGTTTCGTACTTTTAGCCTTTTTCATTACTTTAAACTGATGCTTTTTCAATCTCGAAAAAAGACGAAAATCCTTTTTTGTATGGCATCTATCAGTAAAAAATTTTATTAAACAGTTCATTATTGACATTGGCGATTTTTAGCTTAAATATAAATATCAAATGACTGAAAGAAGTTTTGAAGACGATAAGTGCATATCCCTTTAAACTAGCTATAAGATAAAAAGTTTATGTACGTGGTTTCGAGTATAAGTCAATATGTGAGTTTGTTTTATAAATAAAAGCACATACTACGAGAACAACAATGCCAATGGCGGCATTTTTTGTCATAAATACTACGCACGAAGTTAATGGTGATTTTCAGCTTTATTAAAGCAAAAAGAACTTTGAAAAAGCAACAAATGCACAGCCCATTGTTTTCTGGTTCAAAATATATAAAAATGATGCTTTGAAAATCGCTTCAAGTGAAATTATAGGGTTCCAACTAGGCAGAACAACAATGGCGACATTTTTTAGTCAAAAATACTACGCACGAAGTTAATGGTGATTTTAAGCTTCATTAAAGCAAAAAGAACATTAAAAAAGCAACAAATGCACAGCCTATTGTTTTCTGGTTCAAAATATATAAAAATGATGCTTTGAAAATCGCTAAAAGTGAAGTTATAGGGTTCCTAGTAGGCACATACTACGAGAACAACAATGGCGACATTTTTTAGTCAAAAATACTACGCACGAAGTTAATGATGATTTTAAGCTTCATTAAAGCAAAAAGAACATTAAAAAAGCAACAAATGCACAGTCCATTGTTTTCTGGTTCAAAATATATAAAAATGATGCTTTGAAAATCGCTAAAAGTGAAGTTATAGGGTTCCTAGTAGGCACATACTACGAGAACAACAATGGCGACATTTTTTAGTCAAAAATACTACGCACGAAGTTAATGGTGATTTCAAGCTTCATTAAAGCAAAAAAAAGTTGGAAAAAGCGATAAATGCACAGCCCGTATTATTTTCCTTTAAACCATCTACATAAAATGTCTTGTAATTTGCTAAAATTATAGTTACATGTTACAAAGTGAGGGTATAGACGTAGCCATCAATTTTGTAGTCACTGTGAAAAAAGCTTGTTTATGCTGGACTCACACATCACACGTAGTTGTAACTGCTCTAATGCACCCTCGATTCATTTTAGATGATAATGGCATGTTTCAAATGACAATTTGTAGCTTCATTCTCCAGATATAGGGTTCCCAGCAACTTCCTAATTTTACGTGCGACATTTTTGATTACATGCTTCGACAAAACTGGAATTAAATGACCTCTATATAGAATTAAAATTAAAAATGAAAACGTACTTACCTTGACAATAACTCTGTCTTAAAGATAAACTAAAAATAGAATATATAAATGACTTTTTATCCACAAAATAAACAAAAATAACGGAGGATTCGCATTGTGCTTTTTCTGAAAAAAAGACCACGGTTGCGCGGCAACCCCATGCATTGACGTGCTTAAAGCCATATCACGGATGGCACGTAGCATCATAGGCGCTTTCGCTTGCGTTTCCAGTCCCTGTCTTCTGGTTTGTCTATGGTAATAAGCAAGTGAGCTTTGTGGAAACAAATGGACCTATTCCCTAATGAACAAAATTTTGATCTAGACAAGTCTAGACAAAAATTTCATTACAGCTTGAAAGAGCATCACAAAATTAGCAATATTCCGAAGTTTCGTTGCGAAATGTTGTAAAATGCGGATAATTTAGCCCTGCGAAGTTTGCCGTTTTTCAGTCATTTTGTATTACGCGGGGGAAATTGATACCGCTTTCTGAAAAAAGGTATCAATTTCCCGTGCGTAATACAAAATGACTGAAAAACGGCAAACTTCGCACGGCTATATTATCCGCATTTTACAACATTTTGCAACGAAACTTCGGAATATTACTAATTTTGTGATGCTCTTTCAAGCTGTGATGAAATTTCTGTCTAGACTTGTCAAGATCAAAATTTTGTTCATTAGGGAATAGGTCCATTAAGTATAGGTTATTTTGAGGCAACGAGGGGATATGTGATTTATTCACCGAGGCGCGCAGCGCCGAGGTGAATAAACACATATCCCCGAGGTCGCGTTAATGAGTCAGAAAAGAAATAATTCTCAATGCCATATTGCCTTCGCGATGTTGTTTTTTCTCATTTTTTGTGCTGCAAAGACATTGCAGGTGAATATTAGAGGGGATTATTAATTGCAGGTGCATATTAGAGGGGATTATTAAACGGAAATTGATTAGAGTGGAATATTGAATATATTCCCCGACAACAACAAAGGAAGCCGAGCAGGGTGAAAAATAAGAATGAATAAATTTGTTTATTAGTTTATTTGTTTCGTTAGAAGAATGGCACTTTTAGTGATAGTGTTGCTTTTGACGAATTACTTTATTTGTATGCCTTTCACGCTTCAAGAAGACTTCTTATATGGGCAATCTTAATGACTTGGAGGGCGAAGAAGTAATATCATTTTTTGCTTCAATATCAATCAAGTATTATTATTATTATAACCGGAACGCTGAGCACCGTAACAAAGTTGGCCTCATTGACAATATTTGTCCCCCTATCCATCAAATTGATTAAATGCCAAACTGTTCTCCGTCAAGCTCTAAAAACATCCCCAAACTGTCGTATGATATTACCGCATGGTCACTACTGTATAGAGTATAGAACCGTGGCGGTCCTTGCCTAGTTGCCTTGTTTACATTTTGCTGGCGGCCAAATTATAATTATACAAAAGAATCCGTCCTCATTGTGTTACTACCATGCACATCATAATACGAAGCTTTCTTTGTAGCTTTTAAAATACATTTGCCTGCCAACGTGTATAACACGGGAAGGGATCCACTACATTTACTACGGAAGAAGAAATCCGGCATAAAGTCAATTTTTAATGCGCAATTTCTTGGTTATTGGTTTGATAGATACAGACAAAATATTCGGACAAAATATTCGCGACACTTCCAATTATTACTCGCTGGGGCATCCTGTGCCCAGGACGAGTATAGTTTTCGGCTCGCATTTTTCTCGGATAGTGGATCGACAGCCACAAAATAGAATATTAATGAGCTGCCTAATTTTTCCCCAATTATCCATAAGGCTCCTGCCGATTTTACCCAAATTATCCATAAATAGCCCTCCATTTTGAGGAAAATTCGGGAAAATTGAACAATTTTACAAGGAATTTCGCATGGAAACAGCAACCTTCGCAAATCGCAAGTTTATAAAGGTTTTATATACGTTTGACTGTGCTGCTTTATATTTTGAGAAGAAAGCGACACCGTTCGATTCAGCGTAAGAAATTGTACTTACGGATGTCAGGTGTATAATTTACTAAACACCCGTATTCTAGCGATTTATGGCCTTTGAAAATGAAGCGAAATTGTATTGTTGAAAAATCGCTGGCAGTACGGATTGTTGATCACAAATCACTCGCACTACGTTTGTCCACAGGTTTGTCCTTGTATTTGTAATGGCGCAATAAGGGTAAAAATACCACCGTTCGATTTAGCGTTTATAGAAATTGTACTAATTAATACGAATGTCAAATATACCGGTATTACTAAACAACAGTGTTCTAGCGATTTATGGCCTTTGTCTTTGAAAGCCAAGCGAAATTGTATTAATGTTGCCAATCGCTCAATATTATTAAACTAATTATAAAAAAAAATGCACTACGTTTGACCCTTGATAACTTTGGTATCATTGGTTTTCTCTTTTTCGGCCGTATACCAGTGGATTCGTCTCACTTCTCGCTTCATTTTGATAGTATTTTGAGCCCAAAAGCCCCCAAATATTTTATTTTGAACGTTTTAAAGCGCAGTTTATTAATCCTTGCGTACGGACCAACTGGCGGCCGACAGAAGAATGTATATAGCGTACTAAAATCTAAATATAAC